TCTCAAAAGCACATTTTTTGTTGTTTTTAAAAATTCTAAATTTTTTTAGAAAATATTACAAAACACTTATCAGAGAAAGTGATACGCAAGTTTGTCATTTCATATATCAAAAATTAACTCTTACTTCCACGGATACATACAGAAAACATCTGTAGTGAGGGTGTTGTGCTCTGTCACTGTGGAGACAGTCATGGTCCTGGGTGGAGCATGGGAGAGGGTGGTTGCAGCGTATCCATGATAATGTACCATCATGGCTTAAAGCAGGACAGGTTAAACTCATTTGAGCTGTGACTGCGATTGTGACAAGATCATGACAGCAACCTGGAGTAGATGTGATACCCACAGCAGTAGAGGCTTTCTGGCTTGGTTTGGTTTTCTATCACACATGGCCCAWCACAGCATTTTATGTGGTCTGCAAGAACTTCAAAGACATACTGATGTCTTAAAAAGAGCTTATACTGCTTTAAAGCCAGCATTGGCTATAAACTACTTCTCTCATAATGCATGTTGATTATTATGCCTGTAAAATGGCGGCATCCCAGTCACAGCAATAAAATAAGAAACGTGATGTTTCGTGTTTACTTGAAGTTAAACGAGAATATACCCCCAACACAGAAAACATCAGGAAAATACCTATTTTGTGAGTGCTGAAAGTGATGATTGCCTTCACAATGAAGCAGGTTTTCCAAAATTGCCCCAATCCAGCCACGTTTTAATAAAGTCGTGGAAGTTGTACAGAACATAGCAGGGTTGTTATCCTCTCAGAAGGGAGGCTAAGAGGCGATCCCACAGTGCACTTTACCCAGTAAGACAGAAAAATACCACCAGTGCACCACTTATCAGTGCACCTTTTATTCCCCCATTAAAACAGTAAGAAAAGATGATAAATGCACTAGATTGGATTGGTATCTCAGAGGAGGCTGATGGCTGCTTTTAAACCCCTTTGCTGCAGTTTTAGAAACAAGTCTACACAGGGTGGTGGGTGTTGGTGTAGCACTCAAATTCGCACTGTTCTCACTGGGGATTYAAACTGATTTCAAAAGAACCAGAGCTTTCTTTTCTTTTTTTTCTGCCCCCCGCCTTTTTTTTTTTTTTTTACCTTATTGGCATTATTCTTTGAAGTTCAGTCAATGCACAAAATGAGGCAGCACCAGCCTGAGGGGCTCAACTCCATTGGGGTCACTTCTTCTAACATAGTTGTGACAGGTGTAGAGGCCTCTATATGCTAAATACTCCTCAGTTAAAGCAATAACATGCTAACTAAATGTTGTCATGTGCACATGGAATGATTTTTGGCTCCAGTTTTCA